ATAGGTAAAATCTCTATACATGAAATTTATCATTTATCACATTCTTAGGTAATAGATCATTCAAATTAACTAAGATTCTAATAAAAGATAAATATTTAACAATACTTACGCAATGTTATGTGATTATTACACAAAATTACTTGTGAAATGTTTGAAAAAGAATTATTGCAAGACATGATATGTCTGAAAAATAGCAGAAAAAAGTGTCTTGCTGCGAGCTTCTGGTCATCTTAACTTATCCTGACCAATTTTTCGTTTTGTAAACAGTTCAACAACATAGTTCAAGTGATCTTCACATCCCCAGCAACTGTGGCAATCATGGTAGCTTTCTTCTTGGACTGCACTCACAGCTGGGGCCACAGCTCAATTCGACGAGACAGTGGCAGCCATTGGTGGGAGAAGTTCAGATTCTTCGATTCGGATTCCAGGAGTGACGAGTTTTATTCATTGCCTTTCAGACTAAACAGGTTCTTCCCTTCATTTTAACTCCAGCCAGCCAAGCCCTTTTCTCACCTTACCAGAGCATGACATTATACAAAATCTTATGCATTCCAGCTTATTTCCTTGACCAATTATGTTTGTCACATATATAGATCCCTACATGTGTGTGTATATATGCAGAGATGGAAAGAAAAGGGGAAGAATTTATGTAGTAGTAACAGTAATGGATGGAGTTATTTACAGTAGTTATATTTATAGATACTGAGAATTGCTACAACAAAGTTCTAATGAAGGATTTTTACAGAATCTCTCATCTCCAACTCTGATATTGTCTTTTGCTTTCTAAACTCTGCATTTTGGACTTCTAAGTGCATTCATGTATGTCCCAAACATCGCGCTCAACTTTACAACATTTGAATTCGAATCGAGACAATTTTTTTTCTAGAGGAGCACGTAGAGATAAAATTTGAATTCGAATAGTCAGCTCTTCTAATACCAGCATTATATTACAGTAAACGCCATTGCTTTTTGTTGGCAGTGGATTTCTAGTCATTTACAAATTGATTGCACTTGGTGAAGTTGAAATTAAATATACAGACATATATATTCATATATATTTGCAAATTATAAGTGGGTTTTTCATAATTTATGATATAGTTGATGAATTCATTCATGTCACATCACATGGTGTCCTTTTTCCCCTATTCATTTTTTTTTATGACATAATGATCAAATCTAAAGAATAGACAAACATATACAAGCACCAAATATTGTTCTACTATTTTTGTTCATGTGAAAAATGAAGTTTATTAAAATTAATTATTAAAATCTTTGTATTTTATTTAAAGTTTATGAATATAAATTTTATTAAAGAGCTCACATTTCGTACGTGTATGGTCAATTAATAATATTTGATTCAATAATTTAATAGTATGTTAATAGAATCATATCAATAAAATTAAATAAACTCTCAACCTATTACATTTTTAGATAAGTTTTATTAGTTAGAATAGTCACGGTGAGTTAAAAATTCAAATCAACTTTTTGAATTAGATAAGTTGATAATTGTCATTCCTTTCTAAAATAATAAACGAAAATCAAAAAAATAAATGAAAAACAAATAACTAAATAATCCTAAAACGACCTTTACTACTTTTTAAAGAAAGTGAGGGTAGTGAACTATTCACAAACTCCTTGTTGATCGGAATCTTAATTTTGGTTCTCTTGATATGAAATAGTTAATGAACGGGTGAGTTACACTAGTTTAGTAAAAATATCACACTAATTAAAGACACAAAAAATTGAAAATTGGTAGAAATCAGAAAAACAACCAATGGAGTTCTTAATTTAATGTAAATTCATTTATTATAAAGAAAATCATTTATTCCATTTTTGTATAATAGGTCTTTTTCAACAATAATTTATAAAAACTCATATTCATGCACTATTATTTATCATATAAAAGATAATAAGAAACAATCATTTTACATTTTTACCCGTTTACCGGTACCCATGGTGTTCACAGGGATATCCCCCTACTCGTGAACCTAATATCTAATTAAATAATTAACTGGTCATACCCATAACCCGTTTGGTAATGGGCGCCAAACATTTCACTATCTTGATACTCCGTTCGGTATGAAGATGAACCATATCTCCCAAACCTTAGTGGTAAGGGACTTCCCAGCTCCGTTCGACTGAGGTAACGTTCACGTTAGCGTTCCCTATATACCGGGCCCATCCTCACTTTTCCGAGTACTCAGTAAATCTTTTCTATACAGGTTTCTATCAGTATAACAATCAACCATGCAATAACCATATCTCATTTTATACTTACTGTTCACTTAAATAACAATATAGTTTAACACAGCTAAATAACTAATTACCAGAATATCGTCATGCAATGTAGGGGAAACAAATAACAAAATAACCAAAAAGATTCTAAAAACTATCAGTTGAGTTACGCACAGTATAATAATAAACAAATATAGGCAATACAGAAAAATAAACAGAAAATCGAAACAACTGTGAACTAAACAGTTCCGCCTCCACTAATGACCTGTAATTTTTTTAAGATTATCTAATTTTTCATAAAAATACATAATTATTAATTATTAAGCTTCAATTTAACGTAATAGAGAAAAGGATGAGAGATCCTTACCCAAATTGGTGTTTCGGGACGCCGCATTGTCTACTACATTTTTAAATGGGTACCAGATTTTCTAAATTATTCCTACAGAATCCAAAACACTTGTCACATACCTAAAAATACCATAGAAATTCAAAATGATATAGAAAATCCTTTTCGGCCAATTTCGTAGTTCCGGCCGTTGTGCTCCAGCAACGGAACCACCATCTGCGGCAGTGATTTGCCTCAGCTTGACTATTTTTGGTTGATTTTGGTCAGTTTCGGTTGGCTTTATATATATCTCTACGAAAAAATACGTTATGAGGCCTCAGTTGGCCCAAAAAATTAGAAAACAGAAACCTACCAGTGGTAGAGTTTTTCAGGTGCAGTTGCTCCACCGACTCACTTTCGCGGCTAAGATTTTTTCTTCGGTCAACTTATAGAAAACAGAACAGTGAATACAAATGTGAAAAAATTATACGAAATGGAAAACAGAAAAGGGCTCATTGAAAGAGGTTGCGGGTTTTGCCTGTGGTGGCGCTGCCGGGCTTTACTCGTAGTTTTTATCTCATATGCCGTTCGTTTTGCTCTGATATGGCCACATAGATGCTTGAAATCAAATTTCAAATGGGTAGGAGAATTTTTACCTTTTTAGGCAGTCAGAGGTGGCTCCAGTACGGTTATGGTCGGTAGTCGGCTCTCTTCTCCGACGACTGGTTCTTCTTCTCCAGTGGGAGGCTGGCAACTAGGGTTTGAGTTCAGTGTGATACGAAATGTTTATATCCATATCGCGTTAATCTGGATTGTTCATCGCGTTTCATCTTAACCGTTCGATGACGCCTAAAGAAGAAATAAATCTGGACCGTTCATCACATTTTATCTTGATCGTTTGATCACGTTGAAAAAAAAATGAATGTGAACCGTCCACGTGCACCGGATCGATCCTGGGCCGTTCGATCGTAGGGTACGCGGATCGCACGCGTGGCATCCAGCGCGGCACTGACGTCAGCGTGGCTTGTTATGCAGCGTACTCAAGTTCGTCGGGGTTGGTGACTGGGTGGTCTTACGTGGTAAAATTTTTTTATTTACACTCTGACTTATATTT